GGGGCTCGGCAGTGGAGCTGCAAGGCCGGCGGCGGCGGCCGGGACCGTTGGGGGCGGGGTGTGTGGCCTTATGACACACTTCCGGTGATGTCAGGGGGTGTGGCCTTATGACACACTTCCGGTGATGTCAGGGGGTGTGGCATATGCTAATGAGTCCCGCTAATGAGTCCCCCTAGCTCTTTTTCTACGAAACGACCCCTGATCCACAGAAGGCCATGTAAAGACGGTGAGGGGAACAAACAGAGGGGAAGGGTCAGAGGGCAGCTCCCACGTTGAGACAGAGAGAGGCATCCCATTCAAGGAGATATAATAGGTACACACCCTTAGAGTGATATAGCGACCCCCAAAGTCCAGGCATGCTGAGTGGCTCACTTCAACAGTTTCAGTGTGGGGGGAAAGGCTTGGGGGGGGGGGAGGCAGGAAACCTTCCTCTCCCTGCAGCAGCATCCCCAGTCCATAAGAACACAAGAGAAGCCGATGTTGGATCAGGCCAATGGCCCATCCAGTCCAACTCTTTGGGTGATTTCCCACAAGCACTCCTCCGCACTCACTCCTCCCTTTTGCCCCATGGTACCTGTCAATTTCACAGGAAGCTGCTGGGGCAAAATGCAGTCCTGCAGCAGCTTGTGTGAAATTGACACATACCATCGGGCCAAAGAGAAGAGTGAGCTCGGAGCAGCGCTTGTGGGAAATCACCCTCTGTCACACAGTGGCCAAAAATACCAAGTGCCATCAGGAGGTCCAGCAGTGGGGCCAGGAAACTAGAAGCCCTCCCACTGTTGCCCCCCTCCCCCCTCCCCCCAAGCACCAAGAATACCGAGCATCCCCTGCCCCACACAAGAGGTACTATCTATACCTTGTGGCTAAGAGCCACTGATGGACCTCTGTTCCATATGCTTATCTAATTCCCTCTTGAAGCCATCCATGCTTGTAGCCGCCACCACCTCCTGTGTCACTCTTTGGGTGAAGAAGGACTTCCTCTTATCCGTTCTAACCCGACTGCTCAGCAATTTCATGGAGTGCCCACGAGTTCTTGTATTGTGAGAAAGGGAGACAAGCGATGCTCCCTCTAAGCTGGGGAGTCTTGTGAGCAAAAATTCTACTTTGTGAGCTACTGGCATAAATGTTGTGAGTGAGCGATTTGGCTACTGCATATATTAGTTTGCTCTGGAGCCGTCCTTCCTGAGCTAAGACAAAAATGCGTGAGCCGGAGGCTAAAAAACTGTGAGCTAGCCCACACTCACTCAGCTTAGAGGGAACACTGCTCTGGAGCCATCCCTTCCTGAGCTAAGACAAAAATGTGTGAGCCGGAGGCTAAAAAATTGTGAGCTAGCTCACACTAACTCAGCTTAGAGGGAACACTGGAGACTAGTGCTTCTTTCTCTACCTGCTCTATCCCAGGCATAATCTTAGAAACCTCGATCATGTCACCTTTCTTCATAGGGAAAGTGTCCCAACCCTTTTATCGTTCTCGTTGCCCTTTTCTGCACTTTTCCTAATGCTATAATATCCTTGTCGAGGTGTGGTGACCAGAACTGTACATGGTCCATTTGGGCCCTCCTTTAAAAAAAAAAAAAAGCCATTCCCCATAGCTACTATGAGGCAGGAGGGAATCCGCGTTGGGTCTGAGGAACTAGGATCCAACTCTATAAAAACCTTTGGCCCTAAGTAAACACCCGTTGTTCCTAAAAGTTGACTTCTTCCTGCAGCCTTAAATATTTTGCCTTGCTGTCACCCCTTACAGTGAAGCCAGACCCACCAGAGAATGTCGTGGTGACGCCCGTGGAGAAGGCCCCCCGCAAACTTCTTGTGACCTGGCGTTACCCCTCCTCTTGGGGCTCCAGGATCTACCACCTCCAGTTCCAGCTCCGCTACCGGGCAGACATTTCACAGACATACTCGGAGGTTTGAGGCTGTCTTTTCTTTCATGAGGCTGTGGGTCAGAGCTCAAAGTGGGGTAAGGTGAGGTGGGACACCGGCTCACTTTTGGGCAGGCCTAACGCCCTCCCAGTTCATTTTTTAAATGGATGAAAACTATCCCAGGATGTTTTCAGAGGGGAGCTGTGTTGGTTTGCAGTATTATTATTTATTTATCGTATGGCAGAGTTACACACAGGAAGCACAGAATACTATAAAACAGAGAACCCAAGTTGATACAACGGGTATGCAGACTGACTGGGCAATCCCCCTAAATACTGATATCTAAATTTTCAGCCCACTCAATTGCAGCTGGGGAAGAGTTCAGAGAGCTCCGTCACATCTCCCTGGAAAGCACGATGCTCACATTCCTGTAACAGATGGAAAATAGTTTGGCAGGCTGCAACCCAGTCACATTCGGGTCCTTGTATTTTGCCCCATTTAAAGAACAGGTCTGCACAGCTGCCAAAGCCCGTTCGTATTCTATTAGCCGTCTTACATACTTTACGTGGCAAGTCAAATCCTGCGGGCCTCTCGTTGGTGCTTATCTGTAGTAAACGCAGTTAGGTTTGAGTCCAGTAGCACAGACATGTCAAACATATGGCCCAGGGGCCAGAACCAGCCTGTCCAGAGCTCTTATCCGGCCCACGAGCAACTGGCGGGGGGAACCAGCCCAAATGTGAACTGGGCCTATATTAGGGTGTTTTACCCCCTGCTGAGGTCCCTCTTTTCCCCAAACGCAGGCCCTCCCCGGGGCCTTCTCCCAGGTCCCCAGCGATCGCCCAACCCAGAGCTGGCAACCATAAAGGGCTGGTTTGGTCCCGAGGAGGGGTATGGGTCATGGTCAGTGGTAAAATATCTCTGGTACCTGGCATTACATTTTATTGCAAACATGGCCCGGACCGACAAGGTAACATTCATGTCAGATCTGGCCCTCGTAACAAATGAGTTTGACACCACTGAAGAGACCGACAAGGTTTCCAGGCTTTTGAGAGTCAAAGCTCCCTTCGTCAGATATGAGTAGGAATGGAGATCTGTGTCCTTCTATCTCATTCTGAAGGTGGGTGTGGTAGAGAAGGCTTCCGAAGGGTGCAGATGGCCAACGCATCTCGCAAGCGGCTCGATTAGAGCCGAGGGGAAGTGCTTCGGGGAATTCCAGGGTGGATCACTAGAAGAAAATGGTCTGGCTTATATCTGTCCAGGCAAGCTCGATTCGAGTCCAGCGACACTTTTTTTTAAAAAGGTTTTTTTTAATTGAAAATTTAACATCAGATACAAAGACAAATTAGTAGCAGTAAATTATCGTATGCCAAATACAGACTACCACATTACGAATCCCAATAAAAAGAGTAAGTACAACACAATACAATAGGTCTCAATACCACAGAAAATTAAGCCACGAAAAATTATGCCTATCAGGAGAAAAATGGTGTCAAAGGGTCATAGCAAACAATCAAGTATCAATGAAAAGCATCTATAACACAATTCTGATCAAGATGGTCTTTGTTTTGAGCAATAAAATCTAAAGCAGGGTACCAGAAATTATAATAGAAGAAGAGACAGAGGAGAAGAGATTGGATTTATACCCCGCCCTTCACTACCCAAAGGAGTCTCAGAGCGGCTTACAAACCCCTTTCCCTTCCCCTCCCCACAACAGACACCCTGTGAGGTAAAAGAAGAAGAAGAGATTGGATTTATACCCTGCCCTTCACTACCCAAAGGTGTCTTAGAGCGGCTTACAAACTCCTTCCCCTTCCCCTCCCCACAACAGACACCCTGTGAGGTAAAAGAAGAAGAAGAGATTGGATTTATACCCTGCCCTTCACTACCCAAAGGTGTCTTAGAGCGGCTTACAAACTCCTTTCCCTTCCCCTCCCCACAACAGACACCCTGTGAGGTAAAAGAAGAAGAAGAGATTGGATTTATACCCTGCCCTTCACTACCCAAAGGTGTCTTAGAGCGGCTTACAAACTCCTTCCCCT